ATAATTAAAGAAGTTAGCTTTCCCCGTAGCTAAATATGTAAATACATACATAGGCTGTCATATTTTTCTATTTCGCACCGTAAACACCGTCTTTACCACTGGTTTACCATCGGTCGTGGTAAAAATAGGAATCAGGCCCCGATCTTGCCGAAAATCTTACCCGGGCAAAAAATTCAGGCGCTCGCGCCTTCGGCGCGAGCCGAAGGCGCGCGCACTGCGCGCAGTGGGTTTCTTTAGAGTAAGAATTATATGATTCGACAAACAGATTCGCCGAGTATTTGAAAAGTGGATATACTGTATTTCATTATGTTCCCCACATGGAAAGAATTGAAACCTACCAATTTTTAAGGGGGCCAAAATTTTCCCTGGGGGGTTATGAGAATAATGGGAGATTCATATGACGCGTATAGGGCACAGCATAGCTATGGAACGGGTTGATGAAATTACAAAAACAATATATTTTTGCACTCCTTGGATCTGTACCTCGACAGGTTTTCCGAACTGAGTTGAAATACGGACTTTCAATGGTTTTTTGCACCGACGCAAAATTGACCCAAAAATTAGTTTTTCGCAGTGACGAAAAAAGTATGGCGAAATGTTTATCGGTCGGATTTTCACCAATTTTTGATATGTTGAAGATTATTGGTAGTAGAACGAATTATTAATATTAATATTAATCGAAAATTACCCAAAAAGTCGAAATTGACCTGTGTGCCCTTCTTTCGGGGACCGAAAGGCCACAATGTCAAAGGTCACGGAGCCACATAACTGGGGTATCATTGGAAAGGTAGAATTTTTTCTAACGTTTCCAAGTTTGGCCCTATTTCACTAACATCAATGTTGTAAAACCTACAAGTTTTTAAAGTGCAATAAAACTGCATAGATTAAGATTCTGGGCTAACATCTTTTCGATTTGATTTCAATCGAGAAAACTTTCGAAGAACTTAGAATCCTAAAGGCAATTTCATACCTTACATAGGAATTTATCGAGGACTAGAAAACGTGTCACCTAGCAATCACCTGTAAAAATTTATAGATATAAAATGTTGAACTACGTCACCACTTGTCCGATATTTAATGTCAGTAATGTGTTCATTTTTAATATACTCAATAAAATCATTTGCGTTTTCCCTGTGCTTTTGACAGAATAATGTGTCCAAGATTAAACTCCTCAACTAATTTTGCCAGTTGAAGATGTGTCAAGTCCGTTTTTATATCACTCCACAAACTTTTGTTCTTGAGAAGAGATTTGTGCGAATCAATGTTCTTGCAGAAATTAAACCAGCAAAAAACACGGATGAAATTAGGTCCGAAAAATGCGTTAGTGATTGATTCTGCTGCATCTGCTATTAGAATTCAGGGAGAATAATTACGTATGGCTTGTGGATACAAATACTCCAAACCACTCTAGATATTCTTCGAAGTCAAACTCGGAATTAAAGAACGTCCGGGAATGAATGGGAATGGTCTGAAAATGTGGTCATAAAATCACAATGAGTTATCGGAATTTTAAACTTTTTGCATATGTATAATACCAAATACGTACCTACATAATTTAATTAATAGCTAAGGCCGCCACACCCCCGTTGGCGACTAGTTCGATTTTCTTGCGAAGATTTTTCATTAAATTTTTTCCCGAAGTTTTTGCCACTTCCGAGGTGATTTTCTTCCATCGTCCTTTGAATTTTCGAAAGGTGTCAGGCACATCTTGAAGCCGGGAGTATACTGACTTAGAACGTGCCCAGAATTTTTCGATTGGGCGGAGTTGGGGTACATTAGGTGGGTTGATATCTTTTGGTACGAAATCAATATTTTTCTTTCTGAGGTACTCGGTCACTTTCTTTGCATAGTGACAAGTGGCGAGGTCAGGCCAAAACAAAACTTTATCATTTTTGTGAAACCTATTAATAAATGCTTCCAATCCAGCCTTGACGCAATTTTTCAGATAAATATCTTGATTGATATTCCCTTCGAGAACTACCGGGTCTGATACATGTCCGTGACTGGAGATGCATTGCCAAATGCAATATTTCTTTGGAAATTTGTCTTTTTTTCGTACTTTTTCTTCATAAGCCACTTCAGAGGGATCCGAGCTATGAAAAAAATGACGCCCTGGAAGATTTGAAGGGTCAACCGGAACATACGTTTCGTCATCCAGGATCACTACTTTTCCACGCATTTTCTTCAACAATTTTTGACAGCAATCCTTGATCCGACTTTCTTGTACGGGCTTGTAATTTGGTGCAGGTTTTTTGGTCCTTGCTTTGATTCCTAATTTATGGACCTTAATTTCCCCCAGGTAGCTTTTGGAAATTTTGACTTTCCTGGCAGCTACAGCTACTGACGTTGATGGCTTGGTTTTGAAAATTTTTTCAATTCTATTTTTCACTCGAGTGGTCGCTAGCTTCGCCGGACGACCAGCTGGCTTCTTGAATTGCACATTTTCGGAATCCTTGAACTTTTTTATGTAGGAATACACATTTGAACTTGGAATTCCTTCCTGCTTAAAAAAGTTCCAGGTCACCTTGGAGTCTCGGTTGGCTGTCGTGTTGTAGAACTCCATCACTCGTTTTGCTAACAGCTCCCTTTCAAACAAGCTTCTTCTACCCTTATCCATTTTTGAAATTTAAGAGTGATATACCAAATTGACCCTAATGAAGTGGGCTTTCAGAAATTTAAATTATTATAGTTCGCGGGTTTATTGATTTGTCAATATACTCGCTAGAGCGCGCATTCCCATTCATTCCCGGACGTTCTTTAATTAAGGATGGCTCGTCCATGCCCAGTATATGTTAGCCTCTGCTTTTTGCCCTCCTAATAATATTATTTGCTGCCCTTGCATTTTCGCATTGATGCCAAATAGATTACAATTTGAAACTTTTTTTACAATAAAATCCTGCCGTTTTAAGGACCTTTTGAATCCCTATGAGTTGTCAGATTCAAACCGAAGTACTTGTGACGTCATTTTAATTAAAATATTTAAAAATGAGAGGAAAACTAGGAATACCTCGGAACAAACCATGAGTATTTTGTGTATACCGTATGATTGGCCTGCAATCAGGCATGGTATATGGCACTTCAAGAGAAGGAAAAAGATAAGAAATGGTTTAGAAAGAATAATCCAATTATGAGACAAATGTAAATACTAATGAGACAATCTTTTTGTGTTAAGAGACGTTTTCCATGTAGGCAACCCGAATATTATTTATGAGACAGTTTACCTATATTTAAGAGTCGCTAAAATTTAATGCCTTTATAGATTTGTAGTATTTTCTACAATTTGTTCAGGTTCGTGATTTAGTTAAAAGACGTTGAGAATATTCCTAACCCAATCCATTAACAGAAAACTAGATTCGATGAGGATTTTTATGAAAACACCTTCATCGAATTTGCCGTAGCCTCTGTCTTTTGTGCACGATTAATATCAAGCTGCACATCAGGGTTCGGAAAACCCCGGGGTTTTTGTAGAAAAACCCAACCCCGTCAGTTTTTCCGGGGTTTTTGGGGTTTTTGTGGGTTTTTGGGTTTTTGTGGGTTTTTGTGGGTTTTTGTAAATTTTGGGGTAGGTTGAACCAATAAAATTATATATTAGAGAAAAACTAATCTAATATACGAATTTATCATGCAACTTTAACCGTTATCATTGACTTGGACTGTTACATCGAAAATTTATGTTTAACATGTAAGCCTGGAAATATGCCATAATATTTGGAAATTCAAGTCGCACAAGAAAATTCTCAAAACTTCATGATGAATCAGAAAATTTAATTAACATTGATCTAAGTTGTAGTTTATGGGATTTTGTTTTAATCTGCCTCAAAATCCTACAAAAACCCCGGAAAAACCCACAAAAACCCACGAAAACCCGCAAAAACCCCCAAAACCCCAACCCACAATAACCCGGGGTGGCGAACCCTGCTGCACATAGCCTAAAACAAAGAGTACACGACATGATATCTCACGACAAGATATCTCACAAAAAAGGCGTTCTTTATACTTTCGTTTTTCTGAGACAGACATTTCTTTTGCAGGAAGAAATGTAGTCGAATTAAACCAGCATCCTTTATAAAATAGGACGAAAATGGAGAATCATTTGGGGAAAATAAATATGTGGCAGGTGAGATTGATGCCTGATGCTAAGGTACAAGGACCATTAGATATTTTCCATATTTGATCAATAACCTTGTCTGTTGTAGTGTACAACAATTGAACTGTTTGTCTAGTTTCTTGGAGACTAGGCAAACAACAAAAACCTTCGGGCGCCCTCAGAAATTTGGCGCGTTGGGCAATCGCCCCGGTTGCCCTCCCCAATCTCGGGCCCTGGTAGTCATAATGCCTGCAACTGTGAATCCTTATTATCTTAACCAATACTGTCGAGGAATGAGTGATATTATATATGATTGAATGTGTTGTTTATGTATGTATGAAAATGTGTCTCACTTTGTTCCCTTATTTTAAGTGTACCGCTTTGCCATTCTTCTGGAAGGCGAGAGAAGCATTTATCCGTTATTTTTTATGTGTACGTGACAAGAGAGAGAGAAGATTAGTATTACTCGTAGACTTGTGTGAGAGTGATGTAGTGTGAAAGGCAGTAAAAAGTAGTATTTTAATTTGTCGTTTAAATTTCTGAAAATTACTAAATAAATTGTTTTTCCTGTGTGAAATTTATGACTAGATTCTACTTTTCCTTTACACCTTGTGCAATCACTCAAAATCATAAAATTAATAACTAAAATACGGTACGCGACGTGACCACGACATAATTGAGGATAACTTGATTAGGTCCGCGACCGTAGCATTGGTCTCGCGAACCGGATAACCCAGCCCTTGGAAATCCGTCTGTGGACAACCCGGAAGGCCTGTGTCACGCCCCCCAGAAGTTGACACATTATCTACAAGGGTGTCGCAGCCCAATTGCGACACTACCAGGTTGTACCGTCCAGTTTCGATCCTGATTTGATCGTCACTAATTTGTTTACATTTGTTCATTTCCGGTCACGATGCAAGCGGAGGACAACGGTCAGAATCTCCGGCGGAGTGAAAGGACCCGGAAATCACCTGTTCGTTTTGAATTTGGAAATAAGAAGACAAATGCTAGGAAGGAAGTGGTGACGAACTTGCTCGAGATCCCTGTTCAAGATCAAATAGCAACACCCTCAAAACCAGCCAACCAGGAATCATTTATCGGAAGATTCGCAAGTGCAATCAACCCCTTTGGAGGTCGTCGTAAAGGCACATCATCGACCTCATCAGCGTCCCTTGAGTCCAAGAAGGCGGATATCGAGGCGGACTATGAAGAGAGAATTGTTGAAATCGAAAATGAAATTCTCGACCTGCAAGAAGAAGTGGAACTCTCGGAGGTCACGGTGGAAAGTCTCCGTGATGAACTCGAAGTCAAGAGAGGAAGTTTATATCCTGAAAATCCACTCTACGACGCGAAGTGCATCGATAAAGTTCAGAAAGAAATGGCAAAGTTAGGACAAGAACTGTGTCCAAAGTCCAACGAGTTTAAGTGCCTCAAAATAAGAAATACTAACAATGTGAAGCGACTTCAAAATGAAATGCGTGTGTTGAAAGGTAAACATAACGCAGAACTTAAACACGTCGAAGAAGAACAAGACCTTCAACTCAGTTCAAGTGAGGATGAGGCAGATATGGATAAACTTGCTGAGAAGTTTGAATCGTGGCGACAAAATTGTATGAACCCGTCACCGGTGGTGCCAGAAAAGGATGAACTTGCCGACAAAGTGAATTCTCCACCTGTGACTGATAATGTGCAATTAGTGTCCAGTGTCTCTTCAGTAGTGAATCCAGCAGTGAACAGTGACAATTTGGCGCAGGCATTATTAGTGCAAAGTCAAGCAATCACTAAAATGCTCGCCGATTCAAACTCGTCTAAATCAGATAAGTTTATGGCACGACAAACAGCAGGAAAAGACTTGCCGTGTTTTAGTGGTCAGCCGGAGGAGTGGCCAGCATTCTTTGCAAGTTACCGACGAACCACAGATATGTGCGGTTTCTCACACGCAGAGAATATGGAGCGCCTACGCCGGTGTTTGAAGGGCGAAGCTGCGAAGTCCGTACAGTGCCTGATGGTGTCACCAAATAATCTCGATAAAGTTATCCAGATGCTAGAAGACAGATTTGGAAAGGTCAAGCATATCATTACATCAATGATTGGTAAAGCCAGACAAGCAACGAGTGTAAAAGACGACAAGCCGCAGTCTTTAATTGAATTTGGAACTACGGTTGTCAATTTAGCTGCCACCATCAAAAGTCTAGGAGCTGACGGCCACATGAAGAATCCCCAACTACTTTCAGAATTGGAGGATAAGTTGCCCTACAGCATCCGCATCAGATGGCAAATGTGGCGAATGGCGAAAGCAGTAGATGAAGATATAGAACAATTTGCAGAATGGATTGAAGCCGAGATGAAAATGGCTTTTGAGATGGTCACTCATCTTCCTAAGGATGAAAAGAAAGTTGATGAGAAGTCCGACCACAAGAATAAGAAACGAAATGCTGGCGTGCATAATACTGGAGAAGGTCAGCAACAGCAACAACAAAATGAATGCAGCTTTTGTGGAATGGAAAACCACAAGTCATACCAGTGCCGAGATGCCAAAGGTCGCAATGTAAATGATCGAGTACTCCTTGCCATTGAGAAGAAGATGTGCTTATGCTGCCTCCGTGTTGGATGCTCATCTCGACGCTGCAAGAATAAACGAACGTGTGGAATAGAGAATTGTCAAAAGGATCACAATCGACTGTTCCATGGAGCTCTACCACTGAGGGAATTGCTCAATCAAAAAGAAAATCCCAACCAAGTAGTGCATCGAAGTGATGACCCTGGACCTGCGACGGAAGTGAGAAATCCCGTGAATGTATTGCAAGCAGCCAGCCTCCGCTATGTACAGACTGAGGTGCAAGGCCCGAATGGAAAAGAGATGGTGCTCGTCTTGTTAGATGATGGGGCAAGCATCGCTATTTTGGATGAAGACATCAGGCGAAGCATTGGTGCAAATGGTCCCACCAAGCCGTTCTGCATGACTACAGTCGAAGGTGATGGATATTACCCTAACGCCAAGGTTATCGGAATCAATATTAGAGGAAACTATAGAAATTCTCAACAGTTCAAGATCGCAAATGTGAGAACAGTGGATAACATGAAACTTGATCCAGTCAGTCAAGATGCAGAGGATTTGAAGAGAAGATACCCTTATCTCAAGAATATACCAATTGCTTCATTTAGAAATGTCAAGCCGAGAATGATTTTGGGAAGCTCACATTACCATTTAATCAGTCCCCTGAAAGTTGTAGAAGGGAAGCCAGGTGAACCGGTCGCTGTTAAATCTCGCCTGGGATGGACAATTATAATTCCTGACAGAAATTTAATCGCACCAACTAGTTAAGCAGTCATTTACAACTGAAGAATTTGGAGTGAAACCTCACGTCGAAAAATTGAGGTCCAAAGAAGATCAAAGAGCTCTGAATATCATGGAAAGTACTATGAAGAGGTCAAATGATGGAGTACGATACCAGATCGGACTACTTTGGAAAGCAGACGACATCGTTCTTCCACCAAGCTACACCAACGCTCTGCACAGGCTGAAGTGTCAGGAGCGAAAGATGGACAAGGATTTTAAATTTGCTGAGGCGTATTGTAAGAAAATCGAGGAGTATTCTGAAAAAGGATTTATTAGAAAATTGGACAAGACGGATCTGCAGAATTCTCACCCTAGGACTTGGTATTTACCACATTTTGGAGTGGTCAACCCAAATAAGCCAGGGAAACTTCGCCTCGTCTTCGACGCCGCTTCCAAGTCACATGGCGTCAGCCTTAATGACAACTTATGTCAAGGACCGGATTTGAATAATTCAATAGTATCAGTTCTATTGCGATTCCGACAATATCAATTTGCATATGCTGGAGACTTGAAGGATATGTTCCATCGCGTATTCATCAGTGAGGAGGACCGCCACTCCCAACGTTTCCTTTGGCGTGGGATGAATCGCGATTGTGAACCTAGCGTCTACCAGTTGGAAGTGATGATGTTTGGCGCAAGCTCATCGCCCGCTTGTGCTCAGTTTGTGAAAAACAAGAATGCAAATCTGTTTGAAAAAGAAGAACCGGTAGCAGCAAGAGTTACCAAGAAGAACTTTTATGTGGATGATTGTTTACATAGTGCTCCCACCGAAGAAGAAGCAGTATCAATCATAAATGGACTCATTAAAATTCAAGCCAGCGCAGGATTCGAGATCTGCAACTGGATGAGCAATTCACCAACAATTTTGAAAGGGTTGCCACAAGAACTACTGGGTAAAGAAATAAATGGACTCGATTTGGAGAAGAACTCTTTGCCCGACGGAAGAGTTTTGGGAATGTGGTGGAATCCACATGAAGACTATTTCTCGTTCCGGTTAAATTTCCACAAAGTGAAGAAGGAAGTCATCACCGGAGAAATGAGACCAACTAAACGACAGATTTTGAGACTGGTCATGTCAATATATGACCCGCTGGGATTCCTTGGCCACCTGATTGTGAAGGCGAAAATCCTCCTTCAGGATGTCTGGCGCACAGATCTCGGATGGGATGATGAAATAACTGAATCTCTGTACAGCAGGTGGACACGATGGATTGCTGAACTTCAAGGCATTACTGAGGTAAAAATACCAAGATGCTACTCCAATTTCATCCCGCAATCAAGCTCGGTACAGTTGCATATTTTCTGCGATGCCAGCGAGAAAGCTTTCACTGCAGTAGGATTCATACGAGTGAAAGTAAATGAAGTCGTAAATGTCAACATTGTAGCAGCCAAGACTAGAGTATCGCCCCTGAAGGTTTTATCTATTCCCCGATTGGAACTACAAGCCGCAGTGATGGGCGCAAGATTATCTAGCATGATTAAACAAGAACTGGAATTTGAATTTCAAAGTGTGACCTTCTGGACTGACTCTACTACTGTGTTGAAGTGGATCAGATCTGATGCGAAGAATTTCAAGAATTTTGTAGCTCATCGTCTAGGCGAAATATTAGAGATGAGCGAATCAAGTCAATGGCGCTGGGTCCCGACGAAGGAAAATGTCGCCGATGATGGAACAAGGGACAATTTGGATTCGGATCTCAGCTCAACAAGTCGATGGTTCCACGGCCCTGCCTGGCTGAAAGATGAACCTCGACATTGGCCCCAAGAAGCATCTCACCTCGCTGACGAACAAGAAGATGACGAGGGGGAGACGAAGAAATATGTGAACATCATTCAGACGAATCCATCTGTAATTGAAATTGAGAGATTCAGCAAATTACTTCCGCTGCTGAGGACAGCTGCCTTGGTATACCGCTGGGTAAGCAAGTCTCAAAATATGAAGAAGCAGATTTCAGTGTCCGAGTTGCAGCGTGCGGAATTGTACTGGTGCGGGCAAGTACAAAAGGAATCCTTCCCTGAAGAAGTCCAGTTGCTCACTGGGGGGAAGCCAATATCAAAGAAGAGTCGTCTCTACAAACTCGATCCAAAATTGTGTGAAGACAATTTGTTGCGACTACGAGGGAGAACTGGGGACGCAAACATTCCACTCACTGTCACGGAGCCGATAATTTTGGATAATCGACACCCATTCACAAAATTGCTCATTTCACATTACCATGAGCAGAATGGACATCAAGGAGTGCAAACGGTGGCGAACGAGCTCCGTCAAAAATTTTGGATTCTGAACAGAGTATCAGCAGTGAAGAAAGCCTTTCTTGAGTGCCAGCTTTGCAAGAACAGGAAGGCTGAACCACACCCACCGCGGATGGCTGATCTCCCTGCTGTGAGACTAGAAAATTTCTACCTACCGTTTTCGAATTGTGGTTTGGACTACTTCGGTCCCATGGAGGTGGTCATCGGAAGACGCCATGAAAAGAGATGGGGCGCATTATTCACTTGTCTATCCACGCGTGCAGTTCACGTGGAGGTAGCAAATTCATTAACTACCGATTCAGCAATCAATGCAATTCGCCGCTTTGGGAATCGACGAGGGCATCCGTCAAATATTTACTGCGACAATGGCACTAATTTCAGAGGAGCAGAAGCGGAACTACGAAAAGCAATTGCGGAAGTCCGCCATGATAAGGTGGCTACAGAACTTGTCAAGAAAGGAATTCAGTTCCACTTTATCCCAGCAGCATCCCCTCATTTTGGTGGAGTCTGGGAACGGATGGTTGGAAGCGTGAAGAAAGTTTTGACCAACATATTGAAATCGACACGGACTCCCACGGAAGAGATCCTGCATACATTTTTGACTGAGGCCGAGAACATCGTCAATTCTCGACCGCTCACCGAAGTTTCTGTGGACCCTGATGACCCCAACAGCATCACGCCGAATCACTTTCTCCTCGGATGGAGTAATGGAAGTGCAGGGCCAGTCGTATTAAACCAAGAAATCATCGGATCATTCCATCAAGGAGATTTGCTCAAGAAAGGCTGGCGAGCAGCTCAGAAACTCGCCGACATGTTTTGGCAGCGTTGGATTAAAGAATATTTGCCAACTTTGACCAGGAGGACAAAATGGTTGGAAAGAAAGAAGCCAATCCAAGTTGACGACATCGTCATCGTGGTTGATGACCAAGCCCCGAGGAATCAGTGGGAGAAAGGGAGGATAATCAACGTATTCCCAGGAAAAGACGGACAAGTCAGAGCCGTTGATGTCAAGACTTCGAAGGGAATGTACCGTCGCCCTGCTGTCAAGATCGCCGTCCTCGACGTCAAGAGGGATGAAGCTACGGTTCTTCAACTTCCGCTCATCGGGGGGAAGAATGTCGAGGAATGAGTGATATTATATATGATTGAATGTGTTGTTTATGTATGTATGAAAATGTGTCTCACTTTGTTCCCTTATTTTAAGTGTACCGCTTTGCCATTCTTCTGGAAGGCGAGAGAAGCATTTATCCGTTATTTTTTATGTGTACGTGACAAGAGAGAGAGAAGATTAGTATTACTCCTAGACTTGTGTGAGAGTGATGTAGTGTGAAAGGCAGTAAAAAGTAGTATTTTAATTTGTCGTTTAAATTTCTGAAAATTACTAAATAAATAGTTTTTCCTGTGTGAAATTTATGACTAGATTCTACTTTTCCTTTACACCTTGTGCAATCACTCAAAATCATAAAATTAATAACTAAAATACGGTACGCGACGTGACCACGACATAATTGAGGATAACTTGATTAGGTCCGCGACCGTAGCAAATACATAAATCAAACTTATCAGGGTTATCTGTAATTAATAATCTATTCCTATACATTGGGTAGCAGTAAAAATTGTTCGATAGAAAATCTGCTTAGAAATCTGCAGGGTAGCAGTCAATATAAGATTGCGGTTCTATGACATTCTTATTTTTGAAAATTATAAAGCAGGTCATGTCTAGGGTCACAGGCTTTGACCTGAAAGCTTATTTTTAAGCTGTATACTACCAGGGTAGCATAAAAAATTACTAGTGCACTAGTAATTTTTTGCTTCTATGTAACGGATTCAGAATCGGAACCTTCCAAGAAAACCGAGTTTTATGTGACTTTTCACCGTTTCTTTCTCCATGCAGGAGAAAGATTCACAAAAAAGTCAAGCTAGATCTGAAACTCTCCCTCCTTTCCATAATTCCTAAAGAAAAACTTAAAAATAAGTTTGTACATCTATAATAAATGGATTACCTAAATATCAACATGATATGTTTATGAAGACCTTAATTAGTCTAATGTAACCGGGGTCTTGTTTTATTCTTAAAATGACGCAAACTTAGTTTACTGGGTTGCTTTGATATTTAACACACGCAAATTTACCAAATTCCTAGAACTTTGAAATGAGATAAAAAAAGAAGTGACAGCGTGTCATTCCGTGTCTTGTCACTTTCTTGATCACTCAAATAGGATCACAATATCAAAAGGCGATATATGCATTCGTAATTGTCAACCAAAACTTTTAAGAAAACCATAACTTTCCGGATTTTTGAAATATTTCAAACCATCTAAACATGTGTCTGCCTGATTAGAATATTCCAGGTTTATTCTAAAATATAATTTTCGTCGTAATTTAAAGTCATTGTTTTTCAATTCCTTTCGGGTTTTTTGAATTAAACAAAATCTCTAGACCCAACAAAATCTTTAACTATATTTCCTGTTTACGTGGACGTACAGAGGGCTTTATATGTACACTCTAAATAAATTTGATTAAAATTTACTCAATTTTGAGTACAGTTGCCACTAACACAACCATTGGGTAAAACTTACCCAAGAAAAGTTAAAACTTTTAAAACTGTTAAAGATTTTTGCTCCAACTTGAGCAAATTTTACCTTTGCCAGGGTAAATTTTACTCAACAGTTAGGTTAGTGGTAACTTTACTCAACTTTATTTGCAGTGTACGCTTTCTTATCAACTCAATTTAATTCCATCCAGTCTGAGCACTTAGTAAACAAACCTTAAATAGCTTACATATATTGGTAAACAAACGCAGGAGTTTAAGCATCCATATTGACAACATGATGTTGCCAATTGTTGTCTATTTAGTTTAAATAAATGCAGTCAAATTTGGAAAACCATGGTTTTCCAATTCTAAATGATGTTGCATCATCGTTTCGGGTTTCTTGGAAACCGTTTTCTCTGGTTTCCAAAAACTGGCGTTGAATCCTCTACTTCGATGGTCTTACTAATGTTTTGATGCCACAAGTCTTCCTTACCATTTAATGCAATTAGGCACAGAGTGTACAAAAAGACACCTTTTTGGGGAAAAGTTAATGCCTTTTGCCCGTTTCAATGCCAAATTGCCTTTTTGCGTGCCTTTTTGCATTTTTCCGTAGGTTTCATTGGGAATTAGAGGGTGTTCCGGAAGTAATGCAACTTTGGTAAAATGCATATATGCAAGGGTATCAATTTGCCCCAAATTCGAAATTGGGTGAATATTGTAGTCCACACATTTATCTAGTAGAATCCGAAAACCAGAAGTCGATATCTCTATCCGTTCCAAAATGAGGTCAAATACCACCAAGCAACTCGCAACCATCGTCTGCCACTACCTCGAAAAAGTGGTTACGCGCTCCAAGAAATTGAGCTGTGTTCACTTTAAAAAATAAGAAATTCCAAAAGTGACGATTTGTTGTGTTATACTAAGGTATGAGCTGCAAAAAACGACTAATCGCAAAAAATATCTGGTCGGTACATTCGTGTGGCAGCCCCGAAAGTAATAAACTTCGTGTAGATATAAATTTGTTATGTCGGAGCGAAATTCGCTGAAGTACTTGAAGTTCTCACCGAACACCATACATTATTTGAAAGCTTAGAAGTTGGACATCAAATCCTAGAAGGTTCTAGAAGCTTATAAATATAGTCAAGAGTAAAATAAAAGTAGCAAGCAGGAGGGCAGAAAAAATCCTTGACCTGAAGTAATTAAAATTAACCAAAATTGATCGTCCTGTACAAGACGATTTACTGCTCAGATTATCAAAATGCTTTTATTTGCACATAGTACAACTCTCCCACCTTCAAGAAAACCATTTATGCAAAACTGGAAATTAAATATAAGCCAAAGTATCACGCTCCGCCTTAAAACGGATCAAATGCAATTAACATGGGAGAGGTAACATGGGAAACGTTCCCAAATTTGCCAAATACAAGACCTATTGAAAAATTTTAGTTCCTATCCTAGAAAAAGTATTGTAATCGAAAAACTTCAGTCAAAAATTTGAACTTATTTCAACACATGTGGTCAAAAATCTCAAAAAAGGTGAACAGTGGAAAAACAGTGGCGAAGCACTAATTGTGAGCGCCCAACAAAAACGTCTCCAAATTTGGCGGAAGGGGTGTACGGACCATTGGAAGCAAAACTTAATTAGCTTTAACCTTTGTCCCTTTCTGACCAAAATTTCGCTTTAAAAAATTCATTCGTTGAGTTTATATGTGCATTTGACCAAAGTTGCATTACTTCCGGAACACCCTCTACCAAGACCATCTATATTATAATTTCGAAAAGTCCGTCCCGTGAAATTTTCCGTGACATTCCAGCATTCTGATTGGCTATCAGCATGTCGGCTCCATCAATTACAACACGGTTACGATTGTTTGATAGCGTCATTATTACGGTTATGATTACGGTTATGATTTTGGTTATGATTTCGGTTATGATTTCGGTTCTGATTACGGTTATGATTTCGCTTGAGATTACGGTTATGATTTCTATGATTTTGGTTATGATTTCGGTTATGATTACGGTTATGATTTCGGGTATGATTTCGGTTATGATTTCAGTTATGATTACGGTTATGATTTCGGTTATGATTTCGTTTATGATTTCGGTTATCACTTCGGTTATGATTACGGTTATGATTACGGTTATGATTTCGGTTATGGTTTCGGTTCTGATTACGGTTATGATTTCGCTTGAGATTACGGTTATGATTTCGGTTATGATTACGGTTATGATTTTGGTTATGATTTCGGTTATGATTACGGTTATGATTTCGGTTATGATTTCGGTTCTGATTACGGTTATGATTTCGGTTATGATTTCGGTTATGATTTCGGTTATCACTTCGGTTATGATTACGGTTATGATTTCGGTTATGATTTCGGTTATGATTACGGTTATGATTTCGGTTATGATTTCGGTTATGATTTCGGTTATCACTTCGGTTATGATTACGGTTATGATTACGGTTATGATTTCGGTTATGATTTCGGTTATGATTTCGGTTATGATTTCGGTTATTATTACGGTTATGATTTCGGTTATGATTTCGGCGAAAAATATCTTCAGCAACATTAACAAATTTCCTTAGCAACGTTATACAATTTCCCTAGCAACAATAAAAAAATTCCCTGACAACGTTAAAAAAATTCCTTAGCAACGTTAAAAAAATTACTTAGCACGTTAAAAAAATTCCTTAGCAACGTTAAAAAATTCCTTGGCAACGTTAAAAAATTCCTTAGCAACGTTAAAAAATTCCTTGGCAACGTTAGTAAAATTCCTTAGCAACGTTAAAAAAATTCTTAGCAACGTTAAAGAAGTTCAAATAAAGCCTGTCTTGAAGACAGGCTTATAGGCTAGTTATACAATAATTACTATGGACAAGAAAGGGAAAATAATGAAATTAATAATGCTTCACATTTTTGTTTAAATCTAAAGCTTTACCAACCTTGCACAGCTCTCCACAAGATTATTAACTTGCACAATAATAATAATTCCGAGTATTATGAATATTTACATACCTCATGATGTGTATATTTGTAATTTGTTAAGTTGTGTCGAATACATAACTTAATTATTCACATATCGACAAACCCGGTGAACTGTAAGAGAACAACTAAAAAGCATGCAATTGTACTATCACATTGCCTCGATTTTAGCAAAAAAGGCATTTCGGGCAATTGGGCATGCCCAAAATCCATCTGCCTAAGAAGCAAAAAGGAATTTAGGCACGGCATGCCTTTGCTCAATCTGATTAGTCATAACAATGCCCTTAAGAAAAAGCGCCAATGCACTCCAAAGAAATTACAAAAATGTATCCTAGGTTGATAAAAAAAGATTATAGTAATTGGGTAAAATTTACTCAATCCTTGTGTAAATTTATCCACGCTCGTGAGAAATATACACATTTAACGGCTGTTAATTTTTTTTACAATCGTTGGTTTTACATACAATTAAAGTATAGAAAATTGTTGTGACATCCCTTACTTAACTCTGTGTAAATTTTACTTGTATTTATTTAGAGCGGCGGTGCAAAAATTTGAAAACTGTAATTTAACAAATAGCACTAGTCGACGACCAGTAGTCGTCCGCACATCTGA